CACACAAGGGGGGACCGGCCCGATTCCTGACTTGCGCATTCTACCTCTCTGACCGTTTGAGCCCGCACGCTCGTTTCGTGGGTTGGCTTAGGCATACGGAGTTCATTCCATGTCTAAGCTCCAACCGGACCGAGGGTTGTGGCAGCGAGACCGGTAGTGGGATTGGTAGCATGCAGAGGGGGATCGGATCGATCCCCGGCTTGCTCATTATGCCTCTCCGATCGGCTCAACGCCTGCACACCCGTTTCATGGGTTGACTTAGGCATACGGAGTTCATTCCCAGTCTAAGATCGGACCGATAGCGGGATCGACTGCAGCATGCAGAGGGGGACCAGGCCGATCCTTGGCTTGCACATCCTGCCTCTCCGGTCAGTTGAGCGCCCGTACGCTTGTTTCGTGGGTTGACTTAGGCATGCGGAGTTCATTCTCGGTCTAAGCCCCAATTGGATCGAGGGACCCACAGCAGGATCGACAGCACGCAGAGGGGTTCGGGCCGATCCTCGACTTGCGTATTGTAGCTTTCCGGCCAGTTGAGCGACCGCACGCTCGTTTAATGGGTTGACTTAGGCATACGTAGTGCATTCCCGGTCTCGACCAACCAAGGGCCAGAGGCTATCAAGAACCTATCCCTTATATTGGCCCCCTATCCGTCATCAAACCTCGAGAACTCACACCCCCTTAAAGAGCATTTGAGATTTTATAGGTTTGCTGCCAGTAGCAATTAAAGTGTCTGAAATGGGGACACTTTTTTCAAACGGTCACAAAATCTTCTCCACTTTGAGTTTTTAGCTAAATTTTTTTGTGCATGCCAACAAAAATACAAGGATCATGTCTACCAAATTTAGGGCCAAAATGCCTTCTAAAAAAATTTTAAAAAATCCCAAACCGTAAAAAATTTTGAAAATAGTGAAAAATAGAAAACTGGTCGTCTTGCCACGAAACTTCACATGAAGTCTTAAGGGACCATTTTATGAATTTACAAGCCATAAAAATGGCATTGGCATGGCAAAAATACGAAGATGTGCTTGAACCCACCTATCACCCGATCGATCCACGGCTTGCGCATCCCGTCTCTCTAGCCAGCGTAGTGCCCGTCCGCTCGTTTCATGGGTTGACTTAGGCATACAGAGTTCATTCCAGTCTAAGATCAGACCAGATTGACGGTTACGATAGCAGGACCCGCAGTGGGATCGACAGAACGTAGAGGGGATTGGGTCGATCCTCGGCTTACACATTCTGCCTCTCTAGCCAGTTGAGCACCCGCACACTCGTTTCATGGGTTGACTTAGGCATACGGAGTTTGTCCCCAGTCTAAGCAAGTCTCATTCATTCCCAGTCTAAGATCGGATCGGACCGAAGGTTACGGCAGCAGGACTAGCAGCAGGATCGACAGCACGCAAGGGGGGATCGAACCGGTCCCTGACTTGCGCATTCTATCTCTCCGACCGGTTAAGTGCCCGCACGTTCATTTCATGGTTTGGCTTAGGCATACGGAGTTCATTCCATGTCTAGCACCCAGTTGGACCGAAGGTTGTGGTAGCGAGATCGGCAGCACGCAGAGGGGGACCGGGTCGATCCCTGTCTTGCGCATTATGCCTCTCCGACCGGCTCAGTGCCCACACACTTGTTTCGTGGGTTGACTTAGGCATACGAAGTTCATTCCCAGTCTAAGCATATGGAGTTCATTCGCAGTCTAATATCGGACCGACAGTGGGATCGACAGCAGCACACAGAGGGGGACCAGGCAGATCCTCAACTTGTGCATCCTGCCTGTCCGACCGGTTGAACGCTCACACATTCGTTTTGTGGGTTGACTTAGGTATGCGAAGTTGATTCCTGATCTAAGCCCCAACCATACCGAGGTACCCGCAGCAAGATCTGCAGCATGCAGTTGGGGGCCGGGTCGATCTTCGGTTTACGCATTCTGGCTCTCCGGTCGGTTGAACGCCCGCACGCTCATTTAATGGGTTGACTTAGGCATACGTAGTGCATTCTCATCTCGACCAACCAAGGGCCAGAGGTTATCAACGGTGTTTAGGGCAACAACCGAGGGGGACCAGCAGCGGGATCCTTGGTCGGCTCACGCATCCCTCCCCCAATGGTCAGTTCGGTGCCCGCACGCTCGTTTCGATGGCCGATCGAGGTGAGCAGAGTTCGTTCCCAGTCGGGACCAAGGGATGGGGGGCCCCGGGTCACACCCAACCTCAGAGGGGAACGACATGAAAAGAAGGAAGGTCAACAGGAGGAGGGACGAATCAAAGCGACAAAGGGCTGAATCTTAGTGGATCGTGGCAGCAAGGCCACTCTGCCACTTACAATACCCCGTCGCTTATTTAAGTCGTCTGCCAAGGATTTTACCCATCGCTCGATAGGAATTGAGCTCCAAGAAGGCCCGTGCGGCTCGTCCACCGCAGGGGCTGCACCTACGACACGTGCCCTTAGGGGCCATGGGCCCCTACTGTGGGTCTGCAATCGGGCGATGGGCGCGCGCGTCGCTTTTAGCCCAGATTCTGACTTAGAGGCATTTAGTCATAATCTAACGCATGGTAGCTTCGTGCCACTGGCTTTTCAACCAAGCACGATGACCAATTGTGCTAATTAACGGTTCCTCTCATACTAGGTTGAATTACTATCGCGATGCTACCATCAGTAGGGTAAAACTAACCTGTCTCAC